TTGCTATACGGTTATTATCCAACAATGAGGTGCGAAATTATCGGTCAGTGGGGAAACGATCACAAAGAGATGCTCTTTTGGATAGCCTCGTCTGAAATACTTGCCTTGAACGCGGCGCAACATCTTCAAACATTATCTTCGTCGAACACCTGCTAACGCTTCTTCTCGCGCAGTTGGATGCGACATAAGAAAACAATTTTGGGAATAATCTCCCTGCCATTTATTACGTAGTCACGCGAGGAAGAAGTTCTTCCGCCAGAAGCGTGATACTTCTTCTTTTGCCTCCTCGTTTTCGTCTTGCGGCATCCGCACTGCATCCGCCGGGCTGCGCATAAAGAAAGTTGAAAACATGCGAGGATCTTACATATATTCGTGACAATATTCATAACATTCGCCTTGATCGTCGCGAAGAATCATTATTTCGTCCGCTCCGACTCATTCTGGCGCCTCTATTCTTACTCATCTTCATTCTCTCGGATCAGCTTGTTTCTTCGTGTTTGGTCCAACGCGATTGGACCACGGCAGTGATACTTAAAGGAGCGATCACGCAAGCAACTTTGTTGTCGGGGCCTCTTTCGCATTAATTAGCCCTTGCAAAATTTCGCGGGCCCGTACGATGCTCCGAAGAGAGGTAGGACGTAGCTCGACGAATGGTGGCCGAGGATCCAGGGTTTATACTTCTGGGAAGATGGTCGTAAAGACTGCTTGACTTCTACTGGCTCTGTTATTAGCCAGGTTGCTGCGACTTAAAGCGAGCAAGGCTCCGGGAAGGATACTGACAGGGCCCCGGGGATATAATCGCGCTTTACCTTTCACGCGGCAGGAAGATCCGACTAATCTTGCTAGCTTGCTACTATGAGAGACTACATGCTTTATTTCTATACAAATGACTCCATTTATTGTTAGACAAAAATCTATTGATTTCGTTGCTAATGATATCGATTAAACGATTTTGATTGGTATCATTTTAATTAAAATTAAATGAAAACAACACTGCTAGCATTTGCAATTTATACAGACACAATTGTCTAAACTAAACAATTAGGAAATTGAGAATAATATAAATGAACTGAGATATCTGAAACAACACAATTGAAAGGATTTGTAAAGTATTTGATGTACAAATCATATTTTCGAAAAAATATTTTTAGCAATTATTTTAATTAGCAGTAATTTAACAAATGAATGCAAAGAAACCTTTTGTTTCACATATCTGCAAATGGAAAACTTAAAGGTGAAAAGTAGCACACGACACATGACCAATGTCCCTCACGTGAACGAAAAGGGGAAAGGTGGTGCGCGCGAGAGCAATCCCGACGGGACAGAGAAGTTTTACGCGGGGATTATCAGGAAGCGAAGCGAACGCCCATGAATACGGAGATCCTCTGATAAAAGGACGAAAAAAGAGGCGACGGCAGTGGAGCTGAAAGGGGAAAGACGGAACGGCACGCGGGCGGAGAAGCAGAGAGAGAAAGAGAGAGAAGAAAAAGAGAGAGAAAGAGAGAGGCTGGGAAA